CTACTCCAACAACTACAGCTGCTCCAACAACCACAGCTGCTTCTACAACTACGACAGCAGCTCCAACAACAACCACAGCTGCTCCAACACCAACCACAGTTGCTCTTACAACTACGTCAGCAGCTCCAACAACAACCACAGCTGCTCCAACCACAACCACAACTGATCAAACAACCACAACTGTTCCAACAACCACAGCAGCTTCAACACTAACCACAGCAGCTCCTACAACAACCACAGCTGCTCCAACAATGACAACAGCAGCTCCAACTACAACCACAGCAGCTTCAACAACCACTGCTGCTCCTACAACTATGTTTGCAGCTACAACAACCACAGTAGCCCCACAGACCACCACAGCAGTTCCAACAACAACCACAGCCGCTCCAACAACCACCACTGCAGCTCCGACAACCACCACTGCAGCTCCAACAACAACTACCGCCGCTCCAACAACAACCACAACCGCTCCAACAACAACAGCTGCTCCTACAACCACGTCAGAAGCTCTAACAATAACCACTGCATCTCCAACAACAACTTCAGCTGTTCCAACAACCACAGCTGCACCAACAACAACCACAGCTGCGCCAACAACAACCACTGCAGCTCCAACAACCACCACTGCAGATCCAACAACAACTACATCCGCTCCAACAACAACCACAGCCGCACGAACAACAACCACACCTGCTCCTACAACCACGAAGGCAGCTCCAACAACAACCACAGCTGCTCCAACAACGACAACAGCAGCTCCAACTACAACCACAGCAGCTTCAACAACCACTGCTGCTCCTACAACTATGTTTGCAGCTACAACAACCACAGTAGCCCCACAGACCACCACAGCAGTTCCAACAACAACCACAGCCGCTCCAACAACCACCACTGCAGCTCCGACAACCACCACTGCAGCTCCAACAACAACTACCGCCGCTCCAACAACAACCACAGCCGCTCCAACAACAACAGCTGCTCCTACAACCACGTCAGAAGCTCTAACAACAACCACTGCAGCTGCAACAACAACTTCAGCTGTTCCAACAACCACAGCTGCACCAACAACAACCACAGCTGCGCCAACAACAAACACTGCTGCTCCAAAAACCACCACTGCAGCTCCAACAATGACCACAGCTGCTCCAACAACAACCACAGCTGCATCAAAAAAAAACACAGCCGCCCCAATAAAGACCACAGATGCTCCAACAAAAACTACAGCTACACAAACAATAACCACAGCTGCTCCAACAACCACCACTGAAGCTCCAACAACAACTACTGCAGCTCTAACAACAACCACAGCTGCTACAACAAAAACTACAGCTACACAAACAATAACCACAGCTGCTCCAACAACCACCACTGAAGCTCCAACAACAACTACTGCAGCTCCAACAACGACCACAGCAGCTCCAACAACAACCACAGCTGCTCAAACAACCTCTACTGCAGCTCCAACAACAACCACAGCTGGTCCAACAACAACCACAGCTGCTCCAATAACAACTACAGCAGCCACAACATCCACCAAGGCAGCTCCAACAACCACAGCAGCTCCTACAACCAAAACAGCAGCTCCAACAGCAACAACAACTGCAGCCTCACAAACCACCACAGCAGCTCCAACAACCACAGCAGCTCCTACAGCCACAACAGCAGCTCAATCATCAACCACAGCTGCTCCAACAACAAACACAGCTGCTCCAACAACAACCACATTACCTCCAACAGCAACCACAGCAGCTCCAGCAACAACCACCACTGCATCTCAAACAACAACAAAATCTGCTCCAACAACAATTACAGCGGCTCGAACAATAATCACAGCTGCACCAACAACAACCACAGCTGCTCCAACAACAAACACAGCTGCACCAACAACAACCAAAGCTGCACCAACAACAACCACTGCAGCCCCAACAACCACCACTGCAGCTCCAACAACCACAGCTGGACCAACAACAACCACAGCTGCACCAACAACAACCAAAGCTGCTCCAACAACCACCACTGCAGCCCCAACAACCACCACTGCAGCTCCAACAACAACCGCAGCTGCTCCCACAACAACCACAGTTGTACCAACAACAACCACAGCTGCTCCAACAACAACCACAGCAACTCCACCAACAACTACAGCCGCTCCAACAACCACCACTGCAGCTCCAACAAAAACCACAACAGCTCCAACACCAACCAAAGCTGTGCTAACAACAACCACAGCTGCTCCTACAACCAAGACAGCAGCTCCAACAACAACCACAACAGCTCCAACACCAACCATAGCTGCACTAACAACAACCACAGCTGCTCAAACAACAACAGCAGCTCCTACAGCCACAACAGCAGCTCAATCAACAACCACAACTGCTCCAACAACAACAACTGCAGCTCCAACACCAACCACAGCTGCTCCAACAACAACCAAAGCATTTCCAACAACAACCACAGCTGCTCCAACAACCATAACAACAGTTCCAAAAAAGACCACAGCAGCTCGTACAACAACAACAGCAGCTTCAGCAACAACCACAGCTGCTCCAACAACCACAGCTGCTCCAACAACAACAGCTGCTCCTACAACCAAGACAGCCGCTCCAACAACAACCACAACAGCTCCAACACCAACCATAGCTGCTCTAACAACAACCACAGCTGCTCAAACAACAACAACAGCAGCTCCTACAGCCACAACAGCTCCAACAACAACCACAGAAGCCCCAACAACACGCACAGCTGCTCAAACAACAACCACAGCAGATCCAACAACAACAACAGCTCCAACAACAAGCACAGCTGCTCCAACAACAAGCACAGCTGCTCCAACAACAAGCACAGCTGCTCAAACAACAATAACAGCAGCTCCTACTGCCACAACAGCAACTCAATCAACAACTACAGCTGCTCCAACAACAACCACAGCTGCTCCAACAAGTACAGCTGCTCCAGCAACAACTACTGAATTTCCAATGACAACAACAGCATCTCCAAACACAACAGCATTTTCAACAACAACAGCAGTAGCTACAACAACAACCACAGCATCTCCAACAAAAACCACACCCACTCCAACAACAATCACGGCCTCTCCAACAACAACAGCAGCAGCTCCAACAACAACCACAGCAGCTCCTACAACAACAGATGCTCCAATAACAACCTCTGCAGCTCCAACAATGACAACAGCTGCTCTAACAACCACTGCTGCTCCTACAACCATAACAGCTGCACCAACAACAACCACAGCTGCACCAACAACAACCACAGCTGCGACAACAACGACCACAGCTGCTCCAACAACAACCACAGCTGATCCAACAACCACAACTGCTCCAACAACCAAAGCAGATCCAACAACAACCACAGCAGCTCCTACAACAACAGATGCTCCAATAACAACCTCTGCAGCTCCAACAACGACAACAGCTGCTCTAACACCCACAGGTGCTCCTACAACCATAACAGCTGCACCAACAACAACCACAGCTACTCCATCAACCACTACTGCAGCTCCAACAACAACCACCACAGCTGCTCCAACAACAGCCACAGCAACAACAACCACAGCTACTCCAACAACCACCACTGCAGCTCCAACAACAACCACAGCTGCTCCAACAACAACCACATCAGCTATAACAACAACCACAGCTGCTCCAATAACAACCACAGCAGCCACAACAACCACCACAGCAGCTCAAACAACAAACAGAGCGGCTCCAACAACAACCACATCAGCTCCAACAACAAACACAGCAGCTCCAACACCAACGACAGCTGCTCCAACAACCACTGCAGCTCCAAGAACAACGACAGCAACTCAAACAACATCCACAGCTGCTCCAACCACAACCATAGCTGCTCAAACAACAACAACAGCCGTTTCATCCAAAACCACAGCTGCTCCAACAACAACCACAGCATTTCCAGCAACAACCACAGCTGCTCCAACAACCATAACAACAGTTCCAAAAAGGACCACAGTAGTTCGTAAAACAACAACAGCAGCTTCAACAACAACCACAGCTGCTCCAACAACAACCGCAGCATTTCCAGCAACAACCACAGCTGCTCCAAGAACAACGACAGCAACTCAAACAACATCCACAGCTGCTCCAACCACAACCATAGCTGCTCAAACAACAACAACAGCCGTTTCATCCAAAACCACAGCTGCTCCAACAACAACCACAGCATTTCCAGCAACAACCACAGCTGCTCCAACAACCATAACAACAGTTCCAAAAAGGACCACAGTAGTTCGTAAAACAACAACAGCAGCTTCAACAACAACCACAGCTGCTCCAACAACAACCGCAGCATTTCCAACAACAACCACAGCTGCTCCAACAACCACCACTGCATCTCAAACAACAACTACATCCGCTCTAACAACAACCACAGCCTCTCCAACAACAACCACAGCTGCACCAACAACAACCAGAGCTGCTCCAACAACCACCACTGCAGCTCCAACAGCAACCACAGCCGCTCCAACAACCACCACTGCATCTCAAACAACAACTACATCCGCTCTAACAACAACCACAGCCTCTCCAACAACAACCACAGCTGCACCAACAACAACCACAGTTGCTCCAACAACCAGAGCTACTCCTACAACCAGGACAGCAGCTCCAACAACAACAGCTCCAACACCCACCACAGCCGCTCCTACAACTACGACAGCAGCTCGAACATCATCCACAGCTGCTCCAACAACCACAGCTGCTTCTAAAACTACGACAGCAGCTCCAACAACAACCACAGCTGCTCCAACACCAACCACAGTTGCTCTTACAACTACGACAGCAGCTCCAACAACAACCACAGCTGCTCCAACCACAACTGTTCCAACAACCACAGCAGCTCCAACACTAACCACAGCAGCTCCTACAACAACCACAGCTGCTCCAACAACGACAACAGCAGCTCCAACTACAACCACAGCAGCTTCAACAACCACTGCTGCTCCTACAACTATGTTAGCAGCTACAACAACCACAGTAGCCCCCAGACCACCACAGCAGTTCCAACAACAACCACAGCCGCTCCAACAACCACCACTGCAGCTCCGACAACCACCACTGCAGCTCCAACAACAACTACCGCCGTTCCAACAACAACCACAGCCGCTCCAACAACAGCTGCTCCTACAACCACGTCAGAAGCTCCAACAATAACCATTGCAGCTCCAACAACAACTTCAGCTGTTCCAACAACCACAGCTGCACCAACAACAACCACAGCTGCGCCAACAACAACCACTGCAGCTCCAACAACCACCACTGCAGATCCAACAACAACTACATCCGCTCCAACAACAACCACAGCCGCACGATCAACGACGACAGCTGCTCCAACAACCACACCTGCTCCTACAACCACGAAGGCAGCTCCAACAACAACCATAGCTTCTCCAACAGCAACCACAGCAACAACAAACACTGCTGCTCCATCAACCACCACTGCAGCTCCAACAACGACCACAGATGCTCCAACAAAAACTACAGCTACACAAACAATAACCACAGCTGCTCCAACAACCACCACTGAAGCTCCAACAACAACTACTGCAGCTCTAACAACAACCACAGCTGCTCCAACAAAAACTACAGCTACACAAACAATAACCACAGCTGCTCCAACAACCACCACTGAAGCTCCAACAACAACTACTGCAGCTCCAACAACGACCACAGCTGCTCCAACAACAACCACATCCGCTAAAACAACAGCCACAGCTGCTCCAACAACAACCACAGCTACAAAAACAACAACCACTGCAGCTCCAACAACAACCACAGCTGCTCAAACAACCTCTTCTGCAGCTCTAACAACAACCACAGCTGGTCCAACAACAACCACAGCTGCTCCAATAACAACTACAGCAGCCACAACATCCACCAAGGCAGCTCCAACAACCACAGCAGCTCCTACAACCAAAACAGCAGCTCAATCAACAACCACAGTTTTTCCAATACCAACTACAGCTGTTCCAACAACAACCACAGCTACAAAAACAACAACCACTGCTGTACCAACAACAACCACAGCTGCTCAAACAACCTCTACTGCAGCTCTAACAACAACCACAGCTGGTCCAACAACAACCACAGCTTCTCCAAAAACAACAACAGCAGCCTCACAAACCACCACAGCAGCTCCAACAACAACCACCACTGCATCTCAAACAACAACAAAATCCGCTCCAACAACAATTACAGCGGCTCCAACAACAATCACAGCTGGACCAACAACAACCAAAGCTGCTCCAACAACCACCACTGCAGCCCCAACAACCACCACTGCTGCTCCAACAACCACAGCTGGACCAACAACAACCACAGCTGCACCAACAACAACCAAAGCTGCTCCAACAACCACCACTGCAGCCCCAACAACCACCACTGCAGCTCCAACAACAACCACAGCTGCTCCAACAACCACCACTGCAGCTCCAACAAAAACCACTACAGCTACAACAACAACCACAGCTGCTCCAACAACAACCACATCCGCTCCAACAATAACCACAGCTACACCAACAACAGCGACAGCTTCAACAACAACCACAGCTGCTCCAATAGCAACCACAGCTCCAATAACAACCACAGTTGCTCCAACAACAACCACAGTTGCACCAACAACAACCACAGCTGCTCCAACAACCACCATTGCATCTCAAACAACAACATCCGCTCCAACAACAATTACAGCCGCTCCAACAACAACCACTGCAGCTCCAACAACAACCACAGCTGCTCCAGCAACCACCACTGCAGCTCCAACTACAACCACAGCCACTCCAACAACAACCACAGCTGCTCCAACAACAACCATTCCAACAACCACCACTGCAGCTCCAACAACAACAGCTTCTCCAATAACAACCACTGCAACGCCAATAACAACCACAGCCGCTCCAACAACCCCCACAGTTGCACCAACAACAACCACAGCTGCTACAACAACCACAGCCGCTCCAACAACCCCCACAGCTGCACCAACAACAACCACAGCTGCTACAACAACCACAGCCGCTCCAACAACAACCACAGCTTCTCCAACAACCAACACTGCAGGTCCAACAACTTCCACAGTTTTTCAGAGCCGATCTTCAATGATAACAACACAGGTATGTCTTAAAAAAAGTCTCAAAATCAAATCTTCCATACTTTACAATAAAATGTGTTCCATTCATATTTACAAAATATTGCTGTTACATGTTTTTTAATATCTTTGTTTTTGTTTATGCAGCTTGAACCTCTGTTTAAAAATACATTCCAATCCTCATTCAAGTCTTTGACTGTCACTGCCTTCAGGTACTTTTTCCACAATGACTAATTTACAAATTTAAAATATTATCTTGATCTTGAATCTGACAAAATATTGTTTTCCTCTCCTTCTGCAGTAATGGATCAATCATCAATCATATGACCCTTACATTTATTAGCACATTTGTTCCTAATGCCAGTCAGATTGCAGAAGTTTTGTTTAATGCATCATCAACTGTCGTTGGCTTAGACATTGAAGGAACCTCTGTCACCATCAATGGCATATGTAAGCAATATTTAGCTCTATCTGATCAAAAATATATCAATTTGCAAAACTGTTTATTCAACTAATGTGTTTTCATTTTCTCCTCATTTACAGCTTCTAGCGGAATAAGCCACAAGTTCAGTCTTCTCACTCCATTATGTCTGGTATCCTTGTCATGGCTACTGTCAAACCAGAAATAGCATCAGCATTGATTGCACTCTGAATTTCGGTTACAACATGAATACCATTACCAGTATGTCAGTTGTGTGTGTGTGTTGCCCTGATAGGACACAGTTATGACAGTGGATTAGGTATGTCTGTTGAAAAAATATATATAATAACACCGTCTCTAAAGCTCTGGGATCTTGGAAAATGATTGCATTGTCTCTCAAAATGACATGCACTTTAGTCAACTGATGGAATTCTTTCTTGGGGGCAGTCCAAATTAAGTAGCTGGTGTGTGATCTGTGGATGTTTGTAGCTTGTAGCATTGCTCTAAGCGGCATGAGTCTCATGTCCAACCATTCTACTCTTAAATGTAAAAATGGACAAATGTCAAAACTCCAGATAACTGTGATGAAGCTCATTGCTGTTGCATATTTTAATTTTGCTGATAATTGTTTGCATTGTACATGCACATAGTTACTGTAAACACAGAAAAGCATAGAACTTAATTTGATAGATTCGCCTGTTGTCATAAATAACCAGTCTATCTGTTTGAGTCTGTATCAGGCAGATATCCAATATTGGATCAGTGCATACATACTTACAACTTTCTATAGGCTCCATATTCATGTAAAATCCTTGTTAAGCTTCCATAGGGATCATTATAAAAACAACAACTGCCATAATTTAAAGAAGCACACATCTTATAGTAAGCTGCACACCCCTTCACTAATGAATTTTATTTTTAAGGGGATTTTTAGGAACATCTATTTAAAACAAAGGCACTTTAAAATGTCTCATTTATTTAAAGTATGTTTATGTAATCCTGTATTGTTGTATTTTGAGAGACTTTTTTGTGTTCATATAACACCAGTCAAATACTTTATAATGAACAGAATAAAAACTCTTTGAAAAACTAATTTTGTCTCTTGCGTGAGTCTTGAATTTTTTGTCTGTATATTGTGTTTCACTTTGTCTTCATCATTAGTAGCTTTCATTTGAGGTGAACTTTAATTTTCAAATTAGCAAATTTAATGATGGCCTTTTGCAGTCACTCAGTCACACCGATCACTGTGTCAGAGAAACCTGTTTGCTCAGATAGAGTGAACTGGTAGTTGGGCATAGTTTACTTTGGCTATGAGATCATGTTTTTTCAATACCAACAGAGATTCTGAAATATATGTGCATCAAAACTTAGCATCTAGCAAATATGTACACAGAGTACATTTTTTATTTTTAGTTTGGAGTTAAACAATAACCTTTAAATGTGAATGCAAATAGTAATTCGCTATCTAGATGCAGGAGGACTGATGCTGAACTCCAGTGTAGCTGGATGAATCAGCAGGTAATGAAAGCCTTACAGTAATTACATGTCAGGCTCGACAGGAGCAGTTTGTAGGACAATGCCATAAATTGCTTTCTCATCTCATTCAAATGCCATTCATCTAGTCCGCTTGGTTTTAGAAATGCCAATATGGGTGTTCTTGAATGGGCTGGTCATAGGAGCCATTACGACTATTAAGAATTACAAATTAATAAAACCTAGACAAATAATGACAAATAATAATTCTAAGCTTGACATTAGTGAGCAGAACAAATCTAACAAGACTTTTTTTTTTCTATTTAATGCATCAACTAAAGTTTTGACGCGGTCCAAATGGCAACGAAATAGGGATGACTGATGTTGATCATTATAGCACCTGAAGTTGAGCAGCTCTAAGATTCACATTTTTATGTAAAGTAATTTTAATAGTTGTAATAGTTGTAGAGCTGATATTAGTAGCTGTAGCAGTAGGAGTATGATCCAGAATGAGAAAAGGGAGATCTGCATCTCCTGGGAAGATAGGTGATTGGCCACAGATAATCTGCTATAATGATTATCTGTATGAATGCATACAGATAGAGACATAGAGATAGTGAGGGAGCTGGACAGACAGTTGCTCAGTTTGCAAGGTGTGCGGTGGAGGGGCCGATTATTATTACTGTATATAACATGGATATAGTCCAGTTATGTCACACACTGGTTTGTGATTGGTTTGAAGACCAATGATGGCAGTTGCAATATTGGAAATGTTGCTTCAAACTCATTTTCAATCAACAGGATTTAAGGCATAGATGTGGAGTTAATCCACTTCTTTCATTCTGGAGGTCTCAAGAAAATGCCCCAAAGTTAAATTTTAGAATACATTATATTTTCAGTTCATATTAATAACCTGTGTGAAAAAAAGCAGAGGCTTTTAATTTGTCCAGTCTCATCTGCAGAACTTAAAATTGGTAATAGACACCGATGAAATATGTTGTTTTCTAAATTAAATGAGTTAACTAGGAATGGTTGATTTTAGCTTCCCAAGGAAATCAAATCAAGCTAGTCAAAAGCGACAAGTACTAGGAATTACTTAATGATTGGGAGTTATCTCACAAAGCACATATTGCCAATGTGGCCTCCAAATTTAAGGCAAAGTTAGGCTTCTGTTTGAGAGGTACATGATGTGCATCTCTCTCCCTCACTCTCTCTCTCTCTCTGAGTGACATACTCTCTGTTTTCAGTTGAGAGAAGTAATTCTGTATAATATCTTGCTACATGAATTCATATTTTATTATTTAATGTAATACTTATTAGTATGAGTTATTAACATCAGCTCATGTTTAATTTAGATTATTTACACTTTAACAGACAACAAAACTGTTTGGTATACTAAATGTGATTGGCTATCCTTGAAGGTACGCAGGTTATGTTTTTTTGTTAGTACCTGCCTTTGAGCTATGGATGACATTTAGGTTCTGTGCTAATTCCAGAATATTTACAAAGATTTGATTTGCAAATGTGTTGAATTATGTACACTGTCCTTATTCACTAAATAAATACCCTGGCTGAGTCAGCACTTACTTTATGAAAGCTCTTCTTGGTTGAGTTCCTTCTTATTTATATACATACCTCCAAAGATACCAGAAACCACCATGCCTTGGGTTCCAGTAATGTTTTTCAAATCTCTGTCCTCTTTACTGCATTGAGCTTGGGAAAAGAGCAATTAGTTTTGCTGCCCCCTCAGAATGGAAAAAAATCCAAAGTGAATTTCAAACTGACAGATCTAATTAAGCCTAAAAAACTTTCTGAATGACACAAGACCATTGGACAGCACCTGTATTTTTTAAATGTTATCCTGTGGATACAACTCCTGCACTCCATTTGCAAACCAATTAGCATAGATAGTTGTTGTTTACTCTTAACGTAACCTATTGTTTAAAATAAAAACATTTTAATAATGTAATGTTTACTTAAGACATGTGTTGCTGCCCTCTTGGCCCAGTCACTTGTAAACGAGATCTCAATGGGTTAATTTCCTGGTTAAATAAATGGAACCAGTCTCATGTTGAACAGCCTGCTGCAACTGTGTTGGGTTTGTTAAGGGGACAGAGATGAGACAGACGGTGAGATAGAAAGAGACAAACAAACTCAGAAACAAACTTAATGTATAAAACTGATTTAAGGCTGTAATGCCAGTAAAGATAAAAGCATTGGTTTTTAGCAAACATACTAATGCTAACTACTAATGTTCCCTTAGGAAATTTACTATCATTAAATGTGATAAATATCACATATTTGGTTACACATTTTAGGGTGTGCCACAAATACATATCAAATACATGTATCATGTTGTATAGATAATGGAGGGATGGATTGATGGACATGCTTTTTTATTTAAGTAGCTTATTTGAACTATATTTAATCCTGAAAATGTCCTCATTTAGAATGAAATTATAAAATAAGTAATCATAATGGATTCACCAGCAGAAATGAATAATCTTTATCAGTTCACCTGCAGTTGGACAGCTAAAGTAACAAGTTGTTAATAATTCCCTGTAGTATGTAACATTTTTCTTTTTTCCATGTTTGATTTTATTTTCTAA